TACACGAATTATAGCTCAAAAAAAGAAAAAGACATCTATGATAATTTTCACAGCTGCATTATTCACTTATACTCCCTATAGGAAGGAGTAAGAGGGTGTAGGGAATGTTCTGCTTCTTGACGTGAGCGGTGATCACATAAATCAACGTACTTTTATATTATTCATCAAGTTATATGTTTAAAATTTCTACATTTTTCTATCTGCACATTATATTTTAATATGGACTTAAAATAATTTTAAAAAACTAGATAAATATCTTTTATCAATAGGTAGATTTTTCCCCAACCTTCTTCACCCACACTTTCTTAGGTCAATGCGCTGCTCCATGTGTACTTCCTCACCCAATTTCCAGCAGCATATTTGGTGAGATGCAATTACCTGATGCTGACTGTTATTTCTTCTCCCCATACTTCTTCTTAAGGACTTAGAACTTGCTTTACTTTTTGGCAGCATAGTTTCCATCCAGTGCTCCTTCTAGAATAAGATCTGATCTCCCACAAAAGAAACATGTCCATTCTATACCTTAAAACATGAAAAAACATAGGTAGGGAAGGTAATGAGCTTTTGTTTAAGAGAAATAACATATATTTAAAAATAACATCCTAAATGTTCAAAGGTGATCTCTCTGACTGTTGAAAAGACTTGCTTTTTTCTCCCTGCAACAAACACTAGGCCATGTGGTCTAATTTCAGAACAGTTTCTGCTGCCTCTGTCATGTAACATTCTTTCGGAGCCTTCCTTGACCCTTGTGGGAAAAAAAGAAAAAAGAAAAGAAAAATACTTCCATTTTGAAAAGAAGATATTTTACTTCCTTTGATCTTGCAATTAATCCCCCTCATCATTTTTTTTTCATAAACCAGTTGGAAGATTGCTCCTACCCTTTGCAATAGACAGCACACTATCTGATAAAAAGTTAAGGCTTTCAGTGAGGCAGGGATTAACTTCATACTCTAAAGAAGTTGAAATAAGACTAGTTTATTGTTGGCATGTCGACTTCGGGAAATAATAGCATAAGAAAAGGATTAAAAGATGCACAGGGACCAAAGAATGCCAGGTCTCCTGGACCATAGTAGAGATTTACACCTGACTTAAAGAGTAATGGAAGGCCATGACGGGCTCTTAAGCAGCATGACATGATCAAATTTGCATTTGAGAGTAACCTTTTGGTTCAAATCAAAACAAGTATTAGAATAAAATAAGATTACCACATAATCTCTGTGCCAACTGCCTTTCACCAATTGTAATGTATACAATGTAAATGTCATTTGTATAAGCACTATCTATAAAATATTAGTGAATAGAGTGGCAAATAATAGTAGATGATCAATTCTAACACTTCCCTTGGTATTTTGGTAAAATAGAGATGTGTCAAAATAGTGTATTTATAATTCTAATATTTGGCTTGCACTGAAATTGAGGCACTTCTCTGATTAACAAAAATTTGCTGGAATTACTATTATAAAGGCTTCCTTTAATTTCAAGGAACTAGGACTGGCAGTATGTCAAACTGTGGTGCATTGACATGCCACTGGCACATGTACAAAGATAAAATGAAATGTAAATCAAAATTGTGATTCACTATAGACTGTGAGATATGGTTTCCTGAGATAAGAAAATCCAATGGAAATACCAAATTAAACACACACACACACACATACACGTACCACAGTGAATCATGACCAATATTCACTCTACATAATATATACATGACATCCACTATTTCAGTGACATTGCCTTTGGAACTCAAATGTGTTATAGTATTTAGCAGAACTTCAAGCCAGGTGTATTTTTAATATCTAAGTGATGTAAATATAAATGGGTTAAAAAACCTGATGCAATATCATTGTGCAAACTGCCAATATTTCTCAGAAGCTAAGCATTTTCTTTATTATGACAAAGAATGCTGCTAATAGAATAATTTTTCTTCTCTTGCTTGATGGACTCAATTGTTTCATTCAGGGAACTTCAATATGCTTTAGAGAATTCTGTGAACACTAAGATAAGACATGACCATGAAACAATACTAACACAGAGCTATAAATATTTCCTCTAAGCAAACCTGCATAGTAATCTGACCTTAGATTCAAATCTAAATGTAATCATAACTCACAATTTAGCACATTTGTATTTTTTTCAGATCTAAGTGTAATTGTAACTCAGAATTTAGTACAGCTATATTTTTTTAAGTATAGGTTGCATGGTTAAAATGAGTGAAAATTATACCACATTAGTGTATACAGAAATAAATATATTGAAAAGCTGCAGGTAAGTCCAATTTTGTTAATTCCTATAATTTAAGTGTACCAAATGACCTAATAACAAATATTTTGGAAGAGCAAAATAGCACCTATTAAATTATCTTTGTGGTTAACATAGCTTTATATATTGGAGCCATTTTATTGGCACACAATGTTTTAGGTTTTTCCCAAGATTTATTCATTACATTGTCAGTAGGAGCTTTCTTAAAAATTCTTTATATAGAATATATAAAGTTGGTGATATGGGAATACCTCAGAGATATTGTGGGTTTGTTTGTAGACCACTGGAATAAAGTGAATGTCACAATAAAGTGAGTCAAATGAGTTTTTGGTTTCTCAGTGCATATAAAAGTTATGTCACGTTATACTATAGTCTATTAAGTGCGCCACAGCATCATATGTAAAATACAATGTACATACCATAGTTTAAAAATACTTTATTGTTAAAAAAATGCTAACCATCACCTGAGCTTTTAGCAAGTCATAAACAATGCTCACAGATCACCATAACAAATACAATATTAATGAAATTTTAAATATTGCAAGAATTACCAAAATATGACAAAGTGATATGATGTGAGCAGATCCTGTTGGAAAAATGGTACCAATAGACATGCTTAATACAGGGCTGCCACAAACCTTGAATTTGAAAGAAACACAGTATCTGAGAAGCACAATAAAATGAGGTATGCCTGTATGCACAGTGAATTCTTTTCCCTCTGGCGGTATGATTCTAAAACATCAACATGCATGAAAACATATTTGGCTTTGACTACCTTACATTAAAATTCAAGAAACCAATACCTATTAAATGTAGATTTGTTTTGAAAAATTCTTCACCATTTCTAATCTGTTGACAATTCTTTCTGGTGGAAACCCATTTAGGTGACTAAACTGAATCTGACCTTTCAGTTAAAATCTTCAGCAGACGTTTAATTTAGACCTAATAGAGTATGATATGTAAAAACCTAAGTCCCATTACCAAACAAAAATGAACTTAATCTTATACAGAATAGATCGTATAATTTGTTCCTTAAGATTGGACAATTTGAGGTAGAAAAAAATCACCTTTTGACTCACGTTGAAACCACTTGTAAAGACAAAATGGAATTTTAAGAACTATTTGTAAGCAAAAGTTAAAAGAAAAAAGGAAAAAGAAGTACTGAAATTCAAAATTAGATATAAATAATAAAAAATATTGAGGGTTTTGTGGATGCATACTCCTACATCCATTTCTACTCTTGTATCTTCCTGTCATAAGGGCATTCTGTATAGAACCTGGAAAGCTGATTACTTCCTCAATACCAGTGGCAGATCTTGTTTAATCTATATATCAATAACGGACAATGAGAAGTGAGGAGGAAAGTTGTTAAAAGGTCCAGGAAAGACATCACCTTCTGAATGTTGCTGTTTCTCAGAAGGACAGGAATCCCGGCAGCCATCTTGCCACTTCCTGATGGTAAAGCTGAGATATGGAGGAGGAAGAGCCAAGAGACTCCAAAGTGCTACTGAAGTCTTAGTATACTGTGCCTGAAGATATCTTAACTCTGAATATTTTGTTAGGTAAGATTTCCTTTTCTAGTGTGAGTTGGAATTTTCTGTCAACTAAAGATATAATGAGGATATTTCTTTTGTTCTACTCTTTAAAATGCAGATAAAAAAAGCTTTTTTATCTACTTAAAAAAGTTATACTATAGGAAGTGTATTTTCTAAATACAAGCAATCTAATTCAAAATCCTCAATTGAGGATTTTTAGTTGAATTTTATTTTAGCATTAAATGCATATGTGTTTTAAAAATAGTCAATTATTCTTCATGGAAACGTCTGTATTAGTGCTTCTTCTCAATTATGGTTCCATAACTATAAAAACTATAAAAAAAAAGTATTAGTTCATGTGTTGTTGGTCTTTTAAAACATGAAATATGAGTATCTTCATTTAAAAATGGAAGTTGTTTTCAGTTTACACCTAAGAGAAACCGATATTAAGAAAATTAGAAATACTTAAATAAAAAGTCATTTAGACAAGTCTTTACCGTTAAAGATTAAACCTTATTTGACTCTTTCTCAATGGATTTATAAAAACTGTTAAGAACATGAAATTACCAATTTTAAACCACTTTAAAAACTTTATTTTTACTAACTACAGATTTTCATTTAAAAATGTAAAAATATTTAAAATTTTAATTTTATTTTTTTTTTAATTTATTTATTTTTGAGAGAGAGCTAGAGCATGAGTGGAGGAGGGGCAGAGAGAGAGAAGGAGACACAGAATATGAAGCAGGCTCCAGGCTCTGAACTGTCAGCACAGAGCCTGACACGGGGCTCAAACCCATGAACCTTGAGACCATGACCTGAGCTGAAGTTGGATGCTTAACCAACTGAGCCACTGAGGTGCCCCAAAATAATTTTAAATTTGTAAATAAATGTTAGAAGGCACATTTATTGAATTGGCTGTGCATGCAAGCAGGCATCTATACAAGAAACTTGGCAATGTGTGTGCTGAGAGGGAGGCAAGAATAGAGTTGCTCAAGGCACCTATGTAAATTAGCTCTTACTGGAATGCTTATCAGAAAAGTAAAGAGTCTTCTTAGTTATCAAGACACTTACAGGTAGCGATTAAATTTTCTTCAAAGAATGAACTTGTACTGCTAGCTAGAATTACTTGATAGTATCACACACATACAAAATTGAGAAAGCAAGAATTTAAATAAATTAATCAAGAAAATCCACAAGATTATGTATTTTTGTAAACTTAGTCATTTCTTATAGTAAATATTAAACCAATAAGCAAATTCTACTAAAATGGTAGAATATTGTGTCACAAAGCTACAGCTACAGTTCATCTAGACATTTGATTTTCTGTCCTATTATTTCCTTGTGCACATAGCACTCAGTTCCCTGATATTATCTTAGCAATCCATTTACAAGCATTAAGAAATATTGTTCAAATATTTGAAGACTTTGATAGACTGGATTATCCAGAAAGAGATGTCAAGGCTTTACACACCCACTATACTTCCCAGTCCTGTTCCATTCAGAGGCCCAGTGAATCAGAGTAAGCATAGGAGTGTCATATAAATTCTTATAGAAGGTAGGTATTTACCAAACACATTAATAAAGATTGAAAAGCAAGACAACTTTAAAGGATTTACTATAGGCTGTGGATAAGATACTCCATAGACAATAGTTTTCCTTAGAAATTATTGAGAATATAAAACTCTGAAAGTAATAGAAGATAATACCGACTGCTTGATTGACTGTGTGCGTGTGTGTGTGTGTCTGTGTCTGTGTATACATTTGAGTTGTTCAAAGTGTTTTGAATCATGACATCAAAGCTAGAAGTAAAAGACTGAAAATTCTGAGTTAAAAATTTAACTTTCGAATGACCCTCAAAACTAGGAACAAAGTGAAAATATTGGGAAAAAGCAGTCTAAGATTTTGTTCTTAATATGTAAAGAAATGTCATAAATCCACACAAATAAAAAACAACCCAGAAGGAAAACAGACTAAAATCATGAAACATTGGTTGACAAATATGAAAACACATATGGCCAAAAGATACAAGAAATGCTGTTTAACTTTGGTAGTGATAAAAATTTTAAAAAGGTAACCATGATATATTCTGCTTTACGTTTCCTGTTGAATTAGCTAACAATTTAAACAAAATCCTTTGTTCTGGGAGAATATGGAAATGGACAGTCCTCCACACTGATAATGGAAATGTAAATGGCACAGATTTTCTGAAGAACATATGGGCAATATTCATCAAAATTATTTTAAAAACTTCTGAACTTTTAAACATTAATTCCAATGAATTACATATTTTTGTAAGAAAATAATTGGATATATCAGCATATACAAATTTGCAAGGATGTTTATCTCCAAGCTGTTTATGAAGGAAGAAAAAAAAAGGGGGTATAGGGAACAAGCTAACAATCTTGATACATGTGTATCAGGAGGAAATTCATTATATTATGATGCAAACACTGAAGGAATAAAACTCCTTAAAATTATATAATTATTTGTGGATACAGAAGCTGACTATTGCATACTGTAAAATAAAGAAAATAATTTACAAAAGTTATACTATGATCCTATTATTGTTAAATTATCTATACATATTGTATAAAATTTGGGAAGATAATGCAACAAATTTTAACAGAAGATTTGTCTACATAATGGTATTGTACGTTGCTGTAAAGTTTTTCATTTTCCATTTTTTTTTTCATTGTCTAAAGGAGGCTTTTAACCTAGAAAATGTGCCAGGAATAAACATATAGTTTATGTGAATATAAATAGAAACAGATTTTCTTATTCTTTCACAGCTAAAGTATTGCCAAAGAAAATATTTTAATACGTCTTTTGTATTGGTAAAATAAAAAGTGGAAGATTTGAATATATGGTTACAGGAAACCTCTAAGCAGAGTAAAAAAAATGAAAAACAAAACAGCAAAAACAAGAACAAAAAACCTATTCTCCAAACACCTTTGGTAAAACAGAATTTTAAAAGTAATGATTTAAATGTAAATAAATAACTCTCGTCTCAGTTTCCAAGGTGGGTTTCAAATAGCACATAATAAAAATCAATATAATAAAACCCTTTTAAAAAAAGTATAAAACAAAGTTGAGTAATACAGATCAAAGGTAGGAGAGAAAGAGAGATCTAGAAACAGGACCAAAATAAAAATTATACTAGAAAATAGACAAATTGATGTAATCTCAATTTGTCAGAAAATCAGTGAACTTTTGATAAATTGAGGCTAAAACTGAATGTTATAATTCAGTAGCAGTAACGGTCTAATAAAAAGAGACATGAGTTCATAAAAACAAAGAAACATACTTTTCTGAACCCTGAGATATCATTACATCGAACAATATAAAATATAGATTGAAAGATATCTGTTAAACAGAATTTCTATGTTCTCCATATATGACTTTGATAATATTGGTGTCTGGTAAAAACTTAAGGCATAATACTAAGCTGTACAAATATAAAAGAATTAAGACAAGTCTAACTTTTTGTCACCTTAATTGCTACAAGTTTAGAACTTAAGGAATGTAGAAGTTAAAGCTTTACTATTTAAGTGCCAATTTTGATAACCAGCAAGCCCCTTAATTATACTCTACCAATGGAAAGAATAGCAAAATATCCTATAAATCAGATATGTAGGCAACATTAAAAACCTCCATCTAGAGTTTCAGCCATCAGAAAAACAATCATTTCAGTATATATATTGAAGAGAAATTCAACTATTTCCTAGTACGGTAAACATTCAGAATGAAATTACATACTGCATTTATACTAGCAATTCTTAAACCTTTGGTTTCTTTTAAAAAATTCAGATGAGAAATTAGAAAATTTCTGTTTGTAAAAATAAATCACTTTGTGATTCTTAGGTATAAGAACTATTTTTAGTATATTTTCATAGAAGAAATTAAAGCTAGCAATGTTATGAAAATAAGAAAGCAAATATGATATGAACTCAAATAATTACATCACTGCAGATGGTTCAGAATGTAATAAAAATATATCTAATCATACTTATTGCTATGAATACTAAATCAAAATCAGAATATATAATATTGTAATTTGAAGATGGGCCTCTGTAAAATGAGTCAAGCTTCCAAGATTCATTTATTTTTCCATAAAAGAAAACTAGCTTTATATACAAAACCTTTTATCACAAAGTTTACTAAATTAAGCGACCATCGCTGGGATTTGAAATGTTCTGAGGCTACGTCAGGCAGAGATCACTCTCATTCCCACGGCTGCTGCAAACACTGGCTTCCTGGGTTATGCGTTTCTCTCCTAGGGCTTCTGGGCCAGGGCAATGTAGAGCGGCTTGGAGCCCAAGATGCGGCCATTCATCTCAGCCATTGCTTTAGTGGCCTCCTCAGGAGAGGAGAAACAGATCAAGCCAAATCCTTTGCTTCGCCCTTCTTCCCGCATTATCTTGACTCTGCTAATTGATCCAAAGGAAGAAAATTCCCTCCACAGTTTTTCATCATCAATGGCCTCATCGAGGTTCTTAATATAGAGCTTCATGCCTTGGCACCTCCGAAATCTTTCCTGTTTCAGCTGCTCAAACATTTGCTTTAACTCAGCCTGTCGCTCTGATTTCTTTTGTGCTCGGCCTACAAAAAGCAGCTGTCCGTTTATATCCTTTCCATTCATTTCTTCAACGGCCTTTTTGGCAGCCTCGTGGCTATCAAAACTCACAAAGCCAAAGCCTTTGGATTTCCCACTGGAATCTGTCATCACCTTCACACTCAGGGTTTTACCATATTCACTGAAAATTTCCTTCAGCCTCTCATCATCCATGTCATCTCCGAAGTTTTTGATGTAAACATTGGTGAATTCATCAGCCTTGTTGCGGAGCTCGGCTTCCCGATCTTTGCGGTTCTTGAATCGGCCAACAAACAGCCTGCAGTCCTTGAGCAGAGCCCCATTCATCTCCTCGATGGCCCTGTCTGCTGCGATCTGGTTCTGAAAGTGCACAAATGCATAGCCCCTAGATCCTTGGTCATCACTCATCACCTTGGAGGACAGGATCTTCCCGAAAGCTGAAAAATGTTCATAAAGGGTTTTGTTGTCGATAGATTTGTCCAGGTTCTTGATGAACACGTTCCCGATGCCCGATTTCCTTAAGTAGGCGTCGCGCTGAGACCACATGAGGCGGACGGGTTTGCCTTTTATCATGTCGAAGTTCATCGTGTCTAGGGCCCTCTGGGCATCGGCCAGCTTCAAGAAGTTCACGTAGGCATAGCCCAGAGAGCGGCGGGTGGCCAGGTCCCTGCAGATGCGGATGGACAGCACAGGCCCCACAGCGCTGAACTTTTTGAACAGCAAGTCCTCGGTGACGTCGGCATGGAGATCACCCACATACAGCGACGCCTGGCGGTACTTGGCTGCCACGCTCATGTCCTTGCCCCTCCCCACCGCGAGCCTGTCCCTAGGAGCTCTCAGTGGGATTCCTGCAGGAGGGTCCCCAGGCCGCAGCGGGAGCCGGGCTCGTGCGTGGTGGCCCCAGGATCACCGCTTATAAGAGGCTGAGAGATGGGGTTCAGGTACGGCTCCACCAGGTCAGAGCAACAGCCTCATCAACAAGCAGCTCCCCCCACCCCACACAGCCCCCCGCGCCCTGCCCCCAACCACCAATTCTGCTCTACTTGGAAGATGGCAACAGGATTCTGAGCTCTCCACGACAGGCCGGCGCTCCAGGCCCAGCAATCCGCGAGAAACCTTCAAGTGGTGGGCCGGCCCCTGAGCTGAGCGTTGTCTCCAGACACTCGGGTTGCTGGTTTCCGAATAAAAATAGGCCTCGCTCAGGCTGCTATAAAGTTACAGCCTCCGGGGGAAGAACTCCACAAGTGGCGTTCGAGGCGGCTGTCCAGGGCCGCCGGGCGTGGGCGGAGGGCGCGCGGCCGCGGCGAGACCCGAACCCCCGGAACCGCCCGGGGGGCCGAGTTCTGCGAGCGCCGCCGCCGAGGCGCCGCCGGGGCCAAAGCGGGCTGCGGGCGCCCTGGCAAAAACAAAAAAAAAAAACAAACAACAACAACAACAAAAAAAAACCCGGCCGCTCTCGGAGCCGCAGACCCGGCGCGGCGCCGGGGGATGGACGGGCGGCGGGAAGGGGAAGCGGACGGACCGACGGACGCGGCCCAGCAGGCTGCGGGCCGAGCGGGGGCTGGGGGCTCACCCGGGCCGCGGCCGGCGGGGGGCGGGCTGGCGGCTGGCGGGAAACCCGGAACTCGCGCGCTGAACTTCCCGCGCTCCCGCTGCCAAGTGGGATGTTTTCTTTTTAATATTTTTGGAGAATGTTTTTCTTCCCTCCGCCCCCCTCACACGTTTCCCCCACCTCCCTCGGACAGTTACGCCGAGAGGCAGGAGGCGGCGACTTGGGTGGAGAGAGGGTGACGAGGGGAGTGGCCCTAATAAACCCACCCGCCCGCGGGGCTGTGCACCGCTCTGGCTGGAGGAGCTTTTTCCATATGCGGATCAGGGCTGGTCACTTCCTCGCTGAAAACCCTCCAGTGGCTTCCTAGGACTCCCGGACGAGGCCCAACATCCTCACCTTGTTCTACGAAGTTCAAGTTCTGCATTCTCGGTTCCAGTCTCAACTTGTTGCCTGGTTTCCCCTTACTAAAGTCCATGACACACTTCTCTCCCCCACCCCCCAGGGCCACCTTTACAACAGTGTGCTTCTCAACGGTTTAAATGCTCTCTCCAAATAGAATTTTCCCTTAAGTTACTTCTGAAAGTTTGTATTTTCCTCTTAGAAACTTACGCTACATTGTACTTTCATAGCGTTCGTTTAATTACAATATATTGTGATTCCGTGATGGTAGGGACCCTGCCCATTTAATTCCTAGGCCAAATTCCGGGACTTTCAGATATGAGATGCTCAAAATTCATTAAATGAATTGACCGCACAGAATGGATGTGATATGTAACCTGAGGCTGGTTTTCATGCACAGAGATGAAGATAGTGTCCATTACCTCAGAGAGTGTTGTAAGGTTTGAATGAATGAATGGATTTGGAAACATCTAACACAATATCTGACAGTAATAGCTTTTCAGTAATACTGATTTTATTTACCCAAGCTTTAAATAAATTCCTTAAGATCATTCTCATAAAACCCTAAAATTTGCATCCTAACACATCTTAAGGATTGTTACCTGCACAACTGAATTGGGTGAATCACTTTATAGAAGACTAATTTAGTGCTTTTCAAACCTTAAGGGAATAGGAATCACCTGGGGATTTTGTTTGAAAGCAGAGTCTGATTTAGTAACTTGGAATGGACTGGAAATTCTACATTTTTAAAAAGCTCCTGAGTGATGCAAATTCTGTTGGTCTGTGAACTATGCTAAATATCAAGACTTAAAGCTAAATTAGTGAGTCTAATTCTTTTCTAATAGTGGCATTTTTTTCTAATGTAAGAACTACAAAGCACATATTTCTCTTTCAGATACTCTAGCAGTTAGTAATACATTATAAAAAAAAAACAACACTAAAATTAGAGTGTGACTTTCATTATCAAATCTAAATTGTTTTTAAAGTATCTAAAAATTGAATAATAGGGGCGCCTGGGTGGCTTAGTCGGTTAAGGTTCCGACTTTCGCTTAGGTCATGATCTCGCGGTTCGTGGGTTCGAGCCCCGCGTCGGGCTCTGTGCTGACTGCCAGCTCAGAGCCTGGAGCCTGTTTCAGTCTGTGACTCCCTCTCTCTCTGACCCTCCCCTGCT